TATTCATCTCAGCATCTTGCTCATTGTTAGTATTACAATGAAGTTGTTAGCTACAACTACACATAGTTCAAGTTTCAGTCTCAGAAGCTGACAGCAATTTATTTGATACCAACATATAATTTTCATTAGGGCACACAGCTGAAGATGGAGTTGAAATTGGGAGAGGGATAAATTAAAGCGCGCTCATCCTTGCCTCATAATGGCTGATCATAAAGCAGCATTAATAATTTAGGCGACTGGGAAATTTGAAGCTTATAAGTCAGGCAGCAGAGGCTAAAATCAAAATAGATGGGAAGGACATTCTAACTGGAGATGGAGAGTTGAGTTTGATTCTTTCTATGTTTTAGACAGCATAAAAGACTGAAGCAGTCTAGGCCCGAAACATCAGCCTTCCTGCTCCTCTGATGCTGCTGGGCCTGCTGTGTTCATCCAGCTCTACACCTTGTTATCTCAGATTCTCCAGCATCTGCAGTTCCTACTATCTCTAGCAAAAATATCTTGTGTTTTTGCAAATGGTTCAAGAGACAGTGCAGTTACATACCCACACAAACCATTTTCTAAATTAGAGAATGTAAAGCCTAGGTTTGTGTACTATATTTATATATGCTGATAGAAGTGCAACCTTCAATTCACATGTTTTAAACTAATATGTTGTAATGCAAACTTCAGAATTTAATAAGTTAATTGGATAAAACTACCTCCAAATTTTGCTTTTGCATTGTTTGAGTCAAAACCATGAGAAAAATTGCTGAATATAACAGTTGCAATATCCGTTAACAAAACTGCACACCAAAATGGCATTTTTATGATTTTGCAACAACGCAGAGAGGAAATTGCACATACAGCATCAAATATGATGCAGGAACTGTTTTACACTGCTGCAAGAAATACAACATCTTATAAAATACATAGAGAAAAGTACTGGAGTGTCAAAACCAATTTCCCATAACCCAAGAATGCTCCAGAATATTAACCCAGTAAGCATGTGGAGACTTGCGGACCTGGAATGCACAAAAGAAAATCATAGTAGGCATATCCCTTGGTTTTGAGCCAAGTTGAGCCAACATTATTTTTCACTACGCACTCGCAACAGGTAGAGCTTGCATTGTAAGCTCAGAAGCAGAAAATATATTGAGAACTCATTTCTTTGGCAAAAATTTTCCAAGTTCAGTAGAAAACAGCAAGCTCATTCTAGTAGGAACAGTGTTGTTCATGTTTCATTTACTTAATGCAATTCCAATGAATTACAAGTTATGAAAAAAAGCAATGTGATAATAATAAAAGTAAAATAACTGATGCTGGAAAAACAAAACTAAAAATGCACGAAAGAAACTCAGCAGGTCGGCAATATCTACAAGAGAAAAACAGAGCTTACATTTCAAACTGAGTAGAACATGACTTATTTGAAACTGGCATTTCAAGTCTGGAGAAGGCATCTGACTCAAAACATTAACCCAGTTTCTCTCCACATTTACTGTCACACCTGCTTGGTATTTCCAATACACAACTCATTATTAAGTGCCAATGTTATAAAATTTTCCTTGTCACTTTCCTTATTTGGCTGCATAGAAACACAGCACAGAATGGCTGGATCAGCTTTCTAAAAAGCATTATACCAATAGCTACACATCCCTACAAATTATCCTGCTATAAATGATCAAATTCCCTTTTGAAAGTTACCAAAACTGTTTCACTATATTTTCAAACTGTACATTACTGATCCAAGTTATTTGTCATGTACCTATCTGCCCATTTTACCATTGTATGTATATCCTCCACAATCCTCACAATTTTTAATCTGCATACCTAAGTCCAGGTCATTTATGTTAAAAAGTAGTAGCTCCAAACTGATCCTTGGGAGACATCACTGCATATTGCCCTGCAGGCTGTCAAAGTTTTACCACCACTGTTCACTGTTTTCTGTTCCCTAATTTCATACCTCAACTGCCAGACTGCTTTTAATCCAAGTCCTTTAATCTTGTTCATTATGTGGCATTTCATCAAGTCCTTAAAGTCTGTACAAACAGTATAACAAAATTGTCCTCTTGACCCCTCTCCGTACTTCAAAGAATTCCAATTTGGTCAAACACAATTTACCTACTGTAAATCCATGCTGACTTTCAGTTAACATATATTTCAAGTGGCAATGCCTGAACACATGATCTTGAAGTTACTTTAGTGCACACTTGTTCCTTGTATTTCTATTCTTTATTCTAAAACTAGATTGAAACCGTATTATTCAAATTACAGTGGAACTTTCTATCTATCATCTACCCTACCTTCTGGATCTTTTGAAGACTAATTTATTATTGGGAAGATTCCACTGTTCAATTTGAGGGTACAGATAGCAAATAACGGTAATATGGACATCACATGCACTTCCATCAAGAGTTGTTAGATAGCTATGCTGTCAAAAGCAGGAAACTAATTATTTCCTGACCCCACAGATATCGAGGCCAACTGTAATTTTTTCACTGCCAGTACAGTTGGGATTAGTGTTTTTGGGCTCTTACCCGTCACTGTACCCCAGTAATTCACTGGGCAGCTCAGATCATTTTAACATTTCGGGCAGATCATCAGGCTTTGCAACGCTCGAATTAATTATCTTACATCTATCAACAAAAACATCAGACAGCTGATCCAACATAGCTTCTTCAAAGAGGTCCATCACAAATGACATCAATAAGTCAACTGGGTTTACTTTGTGACATTAAGTAGATGAATACAGTGGACAGTGAAGGATGTGGGCCCCGAAGACTGAGCAAGAATTTGTTTCAATTGTGCTATGACATCGGTATCTAGCCAACAATGTGGTAGACAGTCCAGATAGCTGTATACACAAAATAATTAAAACCTAACAAGATCAAATAGGTCTTTTTCCCAAACAGCAAAATGATGGAAGCAGTCATAAACTGTCTTTAGTAACGCAAACTTATGAAAAGAAAACTGCTCTCCAGTGCTCAGTTTGGCTTCCTGTAGTAGCACTTGGCTACAAATCTCATCATATTATTGATTTAGGTATGAAGACAAGACTCAAATCTCTCAGGAAAGGTCTGTAACCAAGACAACGTTCAATCAAGGCAGACAGCCAGCAAGGAACTGAAGGGAAATTAAGGTCACTGGAGATCTCCGGCAACACATTTCAACCACTGGGATCACAACCCACAAAGAAGGATTATTGTCACGGGAAGTCAAAAATTACAGCCTGATCATTTCTACAGGAGTTTCCAACTGAGCCCCAAACCTTCAGATGGTTCTTATGATGGCTGTTATGTGGTTGAGATTGTTCATTGATGACTTTAGGTGTTGAATTCCATTCAAGATTCTGACAATAATGAAATAGACCACACCAGCAAACAGCAGTACTGGGAACATATGGAACAGAAGTAGACTTTTAGCCCATCATACAATGCTGCAATTCAATTTTTCTGGCTTTGCTCTATATCCATCCAGATTCTCATCTCTCATAAATCTATCTTAATCCTGACAATTGTTCTAGAATCAGCAGCCCTTTGTGGAGGGAGCCTCAAATTCTTATTTGCTTAATAAAAAAAGTACATTCTAACTTCGCTCCTAAATGGCCTAACTGTAATTTTAGGATGCTGTCCCCTCGTTCTTGATTACCACACTCTACACAGAACAACTGGCTTCTCTGAATTTATCCTATCAAATCTTAAAACTTTAAGGACCTCAGATTAGATTATCACTCAATATTCAAGGGAATACAGTCAAAGCTATTCAATCTGTCTTTGTAATTTAACTCTTTAAGCTCTGGTATAATTCAAGAATAATAGCTAACTTGGGCAGACAAATGGCAGGTAGCAATCAAAGCATGCAAGATCTTGAACAATAGAAAACTCATTCACTTCCCCCAAACTTCAATGGCACCAACACTGTAAATTCCAAATACATTCAGAGCTAATTTATGACCAGAATCTAGGCACCACTGTAGCTCAAAAAACAAAGGCTAGTAGCTTAATTCCTCACTTCTACAATTCAAAGATGAGTCAGAATGATCACAAACTTGGCCAGTACATGAGCAGCAAAACACAATAAAGGTCAGAATCCCCCTCATCCTCACGTACCATCCCATCAACCTCCGGATCCAACACATCATCCTCCGACACTTCCACCATCTGCAATCCGACCCCACCACCAAAGACATTTCTCCCTCCCAATCCTTATCTGCTTTCCGGAGGGACCACTCTCTCCGGGACTCCCTTGTCCGCTCCACACTCCCCTCCAGCCCCACCACACCCGGCACGTTTCCCTGCAACCGCAGGAAGTGCTACACCTCCCCCCTCATCCCCATCCCAGGCCCCAAGAAGACTTTCCACATCAAGCAGATGTTCACCTGCACATCTGCTAATGTGGTATACTGCATC